CCAGTCAGCGCTGGCAGATCGGAGAGGGGAATCCAGCCCCTCCCCCTGTCACGGCAGAGAGCTGTGACAGGATCGAGAGGTGAGGGAACCCGGTATGTGTTCGCTCACCTCCCGATCTACTGAGCCGACCTGTGACAGTCTCATTGTCACAGGTCGGCTAGAACTATGAGGTGAGTGGAAATCACTCATCTCATAGTTCTCCTTTAAAGTATTATACAGGGGGGTGGATGTGTGTTTTCTGTTGCAGTCTTGCTTAACCTGAGGGATCGTTTATCATTTATCTGGCCAGCCATGCACTGGCTGAATACTGCTTGCACGACATATTGGCTACTAGATGGAGTCAAGTACTATAGGAATTTCCTAGGCTCCATCTACTGTCCAGAATGCCATGCGAATGGTATTCATCCAGTGTACTGCTGAGCTGAGGTTTTCTTAATCATCCCCTTAATGTGATCACTGGATTAAACAAAAATACAGCTTAGAGTGACACTAAACTCAGGAGTTAAATCTTAATAATTCAGGTACTTGAATGCATTTTTAACACAAATGTATCTTATTTGTGTATCACTCGCCTGTGGATCCTCAAATCATCTCAATATTTGCTGACACTGTCCTTCCTTCTGGAGCGTGGCTACTTTTGTTCCCCATGGTCCCTGTGCGTGTTGTAAAGTAGCCACCGCTCAAAGCTCGCTCCTGTGATGGACTACAATCTCATGTTTAGTTAGCTAATTTGTACTGAGTTTTCTGTTGCAGTCTTGCTTAACCTGAGGGATCGTTTATCATTTATCTGGCCAGCCATGCACTGGCTGAATACTGCTTGCACGACATATTGGCTACTAGATGGAGTCAAGTACTATAGGAATTTCCTAGGCTCCATCTACTGTCCAGAATGCCATGCGAATGGTATTCATCCAGTGTACTGCTGAGCTGAGGTTTTCTTAATCATCCCCTTAATGTGATCACTGGATTAAACAAAAATACAGCTTAGAGTGACACTAAACTCAGGAGTTAAATCTTAATAATTCAGGTACTTGAATGCATTTTTAACACAAATGTATCTTATTTGTGTATCACTCGCCTGTGGATCCTCAAATCATCTCAATATTTGCTGACACTGTCCTTCCTTCTGGAGCGTGGCTACTTTTGTTCCCCATGGTCCCTGTGCGTGTTGTAAAGTAGCCACCGCTCAAAGCTCGCTCCTGTGATGGACTACAATCTCATGTTTAGTTAGCTAATTTGTACTGAGTTTGTAGTCCATCACAGGAGTGAGCTTGGAGCAGTGGCGACTTTACAACACACACAGGGACCATGGGGAACAAAAGTAGCCACGCTCCAGAAGGAAGGACAGTGTCAGCACATATTGAGATGATTTGAGGATCCACAGGCGAGTGATACACAAATAAGATACATTTGTGTTAATAATTCAGGTACTTGAATGCATTTTTAGGATTTAAAGGGAACCTGGGCAATACAGAAGAAAAGAATATGATTAAGAAAATGCATGATCAGAGCTCATATTGAGTAAAATGTTCTGGTCATAAAGCTCTTTGGATCCAGGAATACAGGATGCTAGATTATATGTCAATTTTACATTTATTATCAATAGTGGAGTTTGGGATTTGAGGTTAACCATTTCATGACCAGGAGTCAATGATGCCCATGCCAAAAAAGCATTCCCCCTTTTTTTCCCACTGTAAATTGCATCTGACAATTACAGAATTAAACAGACAAACAATGCCAACTTTATGCTGCAGAACTATCTGCAGACTGAAGGCTCATTTTGTCAACGAAGCCTCCAGCCTGCATGTGATCTCGGTCATAGCCGACATAATGTCCACATTATCAAGAACCACTCCTGATCGTCAGTGAGGACTAGAGCTGTGAGTGAGTACCAGAATTGAGAACCAGAAGCTGTGCAAAGTGTCAGTTGGTGGTTCATAAAGGGAGGATGTTTATTAATGTATTCTCAGCACAGGGCACATTGCTAAGGAATGGTAATGCACAGCTTGTTGGCAGGAATGAGTTAAACTTTCTTCTAAATTGCTCCAGAATAATATATTGATTTGTACTGAAAGACTATTAACACCAAGGCTGTACACTCTGTATCTTGCAGAAGCTGAGTATATATGGGGACCTGGAATATGCAAATGAGCAGAAACTACACAAGTACTCTCCTGCCTCTCTAGTGGTCGTTCATGGAGTTCCACAGGAAAATGAAGAAGCCGGTCCTTTACCTACAAAGGTAGACTTGGCCAAGTCTGCCATATAACCAGCCATGCAGCCTTCAACGATCTCTTCCTGTCGTCATGTGCAAGGGGCGCTCCATAGCGCTATGGAATCCTAGAGAAACTACGAACTTCTATAAACTCTCCATCAGATTGACAGCTTCCGTGTGGTGTGTGGGAAACCGGGATCTCTGGTCTGGGTTATATATTCCTATCTAGGATTGGATCTAATTTCATAGCTAGTCTTTTGCATAATTTTGCTGCTGGGTGGATGTTCTCCTGATTTCGCTTCCTGATCTGCTTGACTGTAAACCTCTTCTTATCCAATAGGGGGTTGTACTGATACACCTTTTTGTATCTGCTTTGCTATCCTCTCCTACATGACACATAAGTCTGGATGAAACCCAGCAAATCTGTTCCTGTCACACTGTTACATTCACTGAGCACTTTGTGTTTGTTTACATGGGAATTTGTGAACTTTTACAAAGGAACCAGTGACCTGCAACACCCTTGCCTGTATGATTGCTGCCAGAAATCAACAGGGCATCAAATGCAATGCATCATTGTTAATGAGCCTGCAAATGCCCTTATAAATGCAGTTTATTCAGTTTATTTAGTGTAAGGATGGCTTTTACATTTTTAGCATAGGATCTTTGAGTAAGAAGGATTGATGATCTTTGAATTGCACAGACACTTTCTTTGGTATTTAAATGTTCGCTTTAAGTGCATGTTCAGCCTAAACTAGTTTTTAGTTTTGATAGAGTGGAAAGGAATAGAACCTCTGCTATCTCAGGCTTCCTTAGAGAGCTTTCCCCTCATTTCCTGTCAACAGTTGCACCAGGCAGGAAGTGAGGCAAAATCTACAACAGAGAAATGGGCAGCAATAAAAGCTGAGGGAGGTTCTAGCATTTCCCTACTCATTGGGGGAAACAATGATCATTTTTGCTGTTTGGATATTTTTTCCTTCACTTTCGGTGACACTGCTGTTGCTAGGCCAGTAAGTGAGGGAACATTCTTTAAGGGAGCCCTGTACAGCAGTAAAAAAAACAAAGGTTCTAACCCTTCCCCACTCCCAAAAAAAGTTTTGGCTCGATCTACACTTTGACAGGTCTCTCCGGTAAATGTCAAATACTTCTTTACCTGTTAAAAAAAAAAAGTCAAATACTTATGTGCGCTTAGCAAGCAGAGGAACACCATGCAGAATTGTTGGTTGCTTACTTGACTTGGCTCCCTTTATTCCTCTGAGGAGTACAGGGGGTCGCAACCATGCAAGATTAATTTTTTTGAATCTCGGTATTTCAGGACCGCCTGGTGGCTGCCAATTCTGCTTCAACTTTTTTTGCTCAGGGCTTGCTACTCCTCCTGGAACTCCTGGAAGTTCCGATAAAGTGAAGCTGGTGTGGGACATAGTCCTTGTAAAAAGCATGGCCAGTCAACATCCATCTCCTTTCGCTGATTTTTGTTGCTGATTTCTTCTTTTTTTTTTTTTTCTCGATTTTCTTCCACTGCAGAGAATTTTATGACACTTTTCTCTTCATTGTAGACGGCGGTTTTGTTTTTGGTTTTTGCAGTTGCACACGTAAAACCCTCTGTGCACTGCTCTGACCTGTTAGTGCAGCATGGTACGCTTTGAATGTTACTGTACCAGATTGCCCTTTTGTACTGAAAAACTTTTTGACAGATTGTAATTTAAAATGCATCTTGATGTCCTAACTTTATCCTGGTGAAGTGCTTCATATACAGCTCCTTTAGAAAAACAAGATCATTTTCTGGAAAACATGGTGGATTGTTAATGGTCTTGCCCATGTGTAGTACATAAATATGTCTTTTTCTATGTAACCGGCAACACTTTTTTTTTAGCAGGTCAGATGTTCTAAAAACAACAAAAAAAAGCTCTCCATTGGTTGGGCATTCTTGACCTTGTTGTTCTACAAATGCCTCACCTTGGTTATCCATCTCTGCTTGCTGTAAGGTATTGGTGTCCAACTCTGTTCACAAAGGCCAAAATTCATCTCTAAATTTAGGAATTCTGCAGTCAACAGCATGTAATGATTTTAGTGAGGTGTATATAACTAAAAAGTATCATTGTTTTGCCTGTTTGCGGCCTCTTTTTACTGGAGTTGGACAGCTGAGCCTTACGTTATCCCTGTTAGAGGACCAAGTTATAAGATGTCCAGTGATGTAACACAAAATATCTTAAAGGATGAAAATCTACAACCACTACTAACGGATTTATTAAATAATTTGGTAATGAGGGTCTAATTTGTTTACAAGGGGTCTGAAGTGTAATCATACCATTTTCCTGTAATAAATAATTACAAACTCTGACACGTTCTTAGTGAGAATTTATTTATCCTCTCCAGTGTTAAAATCAAGGAGTCGGAAGCGGCAAGTATATCACTACTACTGTATTTGTTTTAATGCATCATAAAAGGTACCAGTTCCAGACTGGACATTGTCAAACACAACTGTAGACCAGCCCAGCTTTTGCTGTTGCCCACCCCTCAGTTGGATTGCCAATGGAAGTCCTGAAGGTTTAAGACTTCCTTTGTCCCTCAATGGAAAGAAAAAAATTAGGATTTTTCCCTGTAATCCTTTTCTTGGTGTCCATTGAAGGACACATGTCCCACTCTGCTCTGTATATGATCATGCTCTCTGCACTGCTTGCTACAAAACTGAGGCATGCTGGGAGTATTCGGGTTATCCTAAGCTGGCCTACAGTTTTTTTTAGTTTGCAAGTGGCCAATCCACCTGTAGGCAACACTATAACCTAAAAGTTTAAGACTTCCAGTGTCCCCCAATGGACTCCAAGTAAAGTATATTTTAGTGGTGAGGTCTAAATTCCTATTTTAGTGGTCTGTTGTGCTTTAGCTTGCCACTGTCATTCTAACACTAATCTGTGGTTCAGACCAAAATATTGTCAGGGTAGCAGGTGCCAGAAGCAAATTTGCATATTGTTTTTTTTTGGAATGTAAAAAACAAATTGCTATGCAAATATACATTAGAAATCTGATCCGCTCTGTCACTGCTCACATCTCTCTCATGCTCTTGTTCTCTCAGATGATAACTTGGACCAGAGTTCCAGGAAGCACTAAACTGATACTAAATTTACTTTTGTTATAATCATAGGCTTAGCATTTTTGTCTATAACTACACCCTCTGCATGGGGCCAAGAGCACCTATAATGTATGGTTTGATTACTTCTGCTTGAATGTAAATTGGTCTCTTAAAAAAAATCTGAACTGATTGAAATATTGAAGCTGTTGTCCCCACCCTCATCCCTCATTCCCTAAGGCTGGGTTCACACCTAGGCGTATTGAATATTCGCGGTAAAAAAACCGCGCAACAAACGCCCGTTTCCGAGGGCTACTTGGCTGTATCCCAATGGAAACGCGAGACCAAAACGCCCCAAAGAAGTACATGTACTTCTTTGGGCGTAGGCCGTTTTGTATCGCGTTCGGATGGGCGGAAATACGGCAAGGTGTGAACCAGACCCATTGAGTACAATGGGATTTAGATGTTTGAGCGCTTTGTAGAGCGTTCGTCGAGCTTGAACACGCTACAGAACGCTCAGGTGTGAACCAGGCCTAAATCCTAGTTGCCTCCTGGCTGTAATGCTGACCCAACCAAGTCACCATAATCTTCTCAATCTCCGCAAAATCAGTAATCCTTATTTACATACTACTACTGGGCTAGTGAAGCAAGTGAGCCGACATGATAGCCAGGCAACTAGCATCTTTAGGAGAGGTGAGCAATGGCAGCCTCAATGTTTCTGTTCGGACAGGTTTCCATTACAGATACATGCAGAAAGGCCTTTCCTTATTATTTTAAATCTAGCCCGTACCTACACAGCACATGCTTAGAGGTGTTTTACATGTTACAGGCTATACTCTGATATCAGTGAGGTATTATTGTCTTTGCGACTAGATTCAAGAAGAAGTTCTGAGTAAATTACCCCAATCACACTTATGAGAATTCTCTATTGAAAGCAGTGGGACTATCACCTAATTTGAGAGCAACAGAGATGGAAGAACTCCAGAGGAACTTTACCTCCTTCATCCCAGATCTACCTCGGTATAGATTGGTGTTCTTTATTTCATTATTGCCAATAGACGGGGAGTACTACATTCCTGAAGACGAAGCTGAAAAGCAATATTCAAACATATATTGTGGCTTCCTATTTTGGCAGTCTGCATAGCTGCCTCTTGGCAAGTCCCTAATGATTATTTGGTATCAAATGAAGCGTGTAATCGGACATTTCCCCACTGGAGGGAACGTTCAGCTCAGGTCATTATCTGTGTAACAAGCAGGTGACTAATTGTGTACATCAGTGTCAGGTCCCCTCAGCTACAAAGTTGTCAGTGTTTGGCTGGTCTCTTGGTAACTGGAATCAGGGCTGGTTCTGAGTAATAACTTTGTGAGAGTGAACACAGGCGCACAGTGCACACTTGTGGAGTGAAAAAGTTTGCCTACAACTGGATTTGAAATTAAACCGTCATAGACAATGAACCGGACCTACCCAAAGGTGAGAAAATAAATAATGGCGTTGTGTAATTTAACCCTACATGCTGGATTATTTTTTATAAAATGATTACAACAATATAAAGCAAATGTGTCATAAGAGACATATGGGGGCTGCCATCGCTACTTCTCAAATGTGTTTGGATGTCTCCAGTTCTCAGTACTTTGAGTCACTGACCCGAAACCAGAATGTGCCCCAATGAAAGTCAGCGTAAAGTCAAAGCTCCTGATCTGCATACATGTCGTAGCGCAGTGACTCAGAAAGTACTGAAGCCAGGGGATCATCGTAACGGCCTGGCAACTAAGGAGAGATTGGTAATAACAGCTGATTGCCTGAAATTTTCCAAACCATCACACTTCTCTGTTACTGGTCTGCTCTGGTTGGATGTGTCCCTTACTGAACCTGTCGAAATGTCAGATGGCTGATACAGGTATGTATTAGTTACTGGTATCTTTGTTCATTTTCATTATTTAAACATAATGTTTAGCCAAAACTTTGAGGAAAGGTTAGAACCTGTCCGGTTCTTAACCCTTTATGACCAAATTTTTTTGCCAGCTAATATGCCCAGGTCAAGTGTAGCAGAGTCCAATAACTGAACTGTATGGCTAATGTTTCAGTTTGACATTGGGTCTGAGAACTAGGGACACACGCAGTTCCACATTCCTATTTCTGTGCTGTAGGTTTAATCGATGTTCTCATGGGGCAGAGTATTTTTGATGTGGACTTAAAATGTCTTATTGGGGGTCAAAAAGTGGTTAATACTAAATATGGTAAAGCAAAAAAAAAAGGAGCACTCTTCTCCAATACAGAGGGGAAAAAACGTATAAGGGCAAAGTAGGCTAAAGGTTCTTATTCAAAAATGTGCAACTTGATCTTTATAATCTCTGCTACCACATTTTGGGGTTTAAGTACAGTTGTGCTCAAAAGTTTGCATACCCTTGCACAAATCGTGAATTTTTGGCATTGATATTGAAATTGTGACTGATCATGCCATGTCTTTTATTTAAAGATTTAATTATATGAAGCCATTTATTATCACATAGTTGTTTGGCTCCTTTTTAAATCCTAATGATAACAGAAATCACCCAAATGGCCCTGATCGAAAGTTTACATACCCTGGAATGTTTGGCCTTGTTACAGACACACAAGGTGACACACACAGGTTAAAATGGCAATTAAAGGTTCATTTCCCACATCTGTGACTTTTTAAATTGCAATTAGTGTCGTGTTTTTAAATATTCAATGAGTTTGTTAGCTCACGTGGGTGCACTGAGCAGACAAGAAGACATGTCCACCCACACAAAATTCATTTAGTTTTGTTTAGTTTAAATTCGGATTTTGTGTTATTTCGTTTTTCCGGATTCGGGTCCTGAAAGTCAATTCGTTTTGGGATTGAGACAAAATTCGTCAGTGGTAGTCTGTACGAACTTTCGCTTTCTTATCATTTTCGTTTTGTTGCAGCAAAGTGCAATAATTTTTTTTTTTTTAAACATGTTTTTTTATTTACTTTGCTGCACCGAAAATCCGTCCACAAACGAAAATCGTACAGACTACCGCTAACGAATTTCGTCCAAAATTTTGTTTTCGGAAATTCGGATTCGTTTATATTTCTGTTATTAGGAAATTTGGATACATCCGCATCTCCGAATAACGAAAGTTCGTCAGAAAAACTTTTGTTTTCTGAAACGAATCGCACATGTCTATAGGCAAGATACTGAGCCATGAGGGAGCAGAAAAGAAGTGTCAAAAGACCTGCGTAACCAGGTAATGGAACTTTATAAAGATGGAAAAGGATATAAAAAGATATCCAAAGCTTTGAAAATGCCAGTCAGTCCTGTTCAATCACTTATTAAGAAGTGGAAAATTCAGGGATTTCTTGATACCAAGTCAAGGTCAGGTAGACCAAGAAAGATTGCAGCCACAACTGCCAGAAGAATTGTTTGGGATGCAAAGAAAAACCCACAGGTAACCTCAGGAGAAATGCAGGCTGCTCTGGATAAAGACGGTGTTTTTGTTTCATGGAGCACAATACGACAATACTTGAACAAAAATTAGCTGCATGGTTGAGTTGCCAGAAAGAAGCCCTTAATGTGCCAATACCACAAACAAAAGTCCGGTTACAATATGCCCAACAACACCTTGACACGCCTTACAGCTTCTGGCACACTAATTTCGGTGAAGAGACCACAATTGAGCTTTATGGTCACTCACAACCGTAAGTACTATGTTTGGAGAGGGAAGGCATTTTGCCAAGACAAATGGGCAGCTATACCACCTGCAAGAATTCGGGGCCTCATGGACAACTATTATAAAAGACTGCACCCTGTCGTGATGGCACAAATAGTGGCACTGGCATTAGCAAGAAGCAAAAGGAAAAACATGGGGGGCAGTAACGGCCTTGACATCCGGGGCACTAGGCAAGAGATGCTGAGCAAGTGCCCAGCACTATCAACGTCCATGGACTGCTGACCCAATTACAGTCCTAATCTCTAAAAGCTTGAGGGGGATCTGACTTTTTATTTCTTAATCATGTCCAACCAATGGATTTTTTTGGCCTTAACGTTTGCTTCTGAGTTAGGAGCTGTCTGCCTTGTCCAGGTTCAGACCTGCGCTGTAAGATGGGAGCTAAAGAAAGAAAATCTGAATATAATTGTTAGGAAAAAGATTTCAGTAACCTTAATAAGTAAAGCCATTGGTTCTGGCGGGAAGGGGTGGAGTCCATTCTTTCTCTGAAATGGAGAACCCTTTAATGTAAAACTCCAGTTCTGTTGCCAAAAAGTATATATACACATTTATCTATTGCAAGTAGGAAAGTGGACATATATTCTTACAGTTCAACCTTACACGTTCATCAACGCAAGCTCCTGCAGAGTAGGAACCAAAACCTTATCAAGCAAGCTTTAAATTGGGTAACAGAAGGAAACATCTTCTTCCTGACCCTTAATGGCAATCAGATCAATCCCTGGGTCAGTCATCTACTATGTAGTTCTATGATTGTTGATCTGTTAAAAGAAAAACAAATCAGTGGTTTTAAACTGGTGGGTCACATGACCTAAAAGTGGGTCGCTGCGTGAATTCCAGTGTACTAGGTGAGAGTCTCCACCTCCCCCTAGCACCGCACTGTCAGTTCTCGCGCTGAGCAGCCATTCAAAATATGCAGCCTGGTGCCAGGTGTCAGCTTGTGGTGGGTGGGCTGGGGATATTGCCGCGAGGAAGCTCCATCCATACGTGCATTGCTTACAGCTCCCTCATGTGCAGAGATGCCTGGACTGGTGTCATAATAAACAGATATCACATTGCACACCAGACCGGAATCCCACTGTAGCATGTAGAAGGGCGCTGGGATGAAATGGTCACCCACACACCAAAGTCCAATTCATAATTCCGTCTTTTTATTGACCGCAAATACACATGGCATCACAAGTATGAGCAACGTTTTGGAACCTACTGTGGTCCCTTCATCGGGCAAATAACATAGTGATCTATATGAAACGTTGCTCATACTTGTGATGCCATGTGTATCTGTCGTCATAAAAGGACGTATTGATGCATTGGACCTTGACTTTGGTGTCCGGGTGGCCATCTGTTCTAGGTTTGGACTGGTGTGATGTCACATTCTGACTCTGGGAGCTCTACAAGCAATGCACATATAGGCTTTTCTAGCTGTCATATATACTGTTATATATCAATTTCTAAATATTTGTTTTCTACAGCATTATTCATAAATATATACATTATATATAAGTTGTCCTTCCTAGAAGGAACTGCATTGAAAGATCTGAGCTCATGTAGCATTTGCTTGTTTACTTTATATAACTCAGATAAACTGGTTCAACCTGAACTCTAAATGAGACGCTGCCAGAGTAAATTGCAGTAACTGCCTGAAGCCCAGTTAAACCTTTGCTTTGCTAGATGGTGCCAGTTGATTCCATTAGAAGGATACGAAAAGTGTTACATAAGGCTTGTATTAATTCTATGGTAATATCCTGCCTTCTTGGTTTTGCTTGGGCTAGTGCTGGCCTAGATGGGAGCTTCTCAGTTCTTAGTGGTTGCTTTATGTCAAAAAGTGAGTTATCTCATCATGTCAGATTAACCTAAATGTCCTACCTTGGTGACACCATAAAAATGGTTCTAATCTGGGCTGTAGCTCTCCTACTTGGCAAATCAAGAACAATTTTATCTATTGGGCCCCCTCTTTATTTAGTACAGGTATTTATGTAGCACCATTAATTTACACAGTGCATTACGTACTATTCACATACATCAGCCCTTGCTTTCAAGGAGCTTACAATCTAAGTCCCCTGTCTCATGTGCACACATACTTAGTTTCTAGCATATCTTTGGAGTGTAGGAGCAAATCCACACAAGCACAGAGACAACATGCAAACTCTGTGCAGACAGTGTCCTTGAACCTAGAACCAGGGACCTCAGTGCTGGAAGGCAGAGGTGCTAACCACTAAGCCACGGTCTATTTTTCCATGACACATCCTCAGGTACATCTAGGAACATTTTTTTTGTGGAACATCATTCAAATTAAACGTTTCACCCATAAATCACCCCACAAATCGTCTTTGATTAGGCCATTGAAAGACTTAGAAAAAGGTGATTATTTCCTCATGCATGATTTTAAGTAGCTTAACATTGTTGAGTTTAAAACTACATAAAATTCTACAAACAGAATTATGGGAGCCTTAGCAGACTAAAATTTGAACCAAAGGGACTCTAAAATACAGGAATATAATTGGAAATGTTCATGATGGCCAGACATAAGACCTAGAGAGGCTTTCTGTGACCACCATGAACCCTACCCACCCATGCTGGTACTATCTGTGAAACAAATATCTTAATTTGAAACCATGCAATCACATACATATTGGGCCTTTTTTTTTTACAAATGAAAACTTAACTCCAAATCAATAGTTTTTTTTTGGGGGGTGTTGCACAGAGTGGGGAAGAGTTACGATTTCTACCAGGTTTTAATTCTCACTGAAACCCCATCAGGGGGATTTTCCGTCTCTAGGCAGAAATAAAACCTTGACATAACATCTAACCCCTCCATGCTTTATCTGAAATGAAATGATTGATCAGAAATTGGCCTTTAAAATGTGATTTGTAGTTGTTAACCTTTAAGGTAAGAACAGAAATTGACTCGGCTCCTTCCCCAGCCAGCAAGCCTGAGAAGCATGCTATACCCTCCCCATACAGCAGGCCTGGGAGCTAAGGACCTTTGGGCTCACATCCTCTATAGACAAAGCCTGGGGGGGAAAAAAAGACTGGATCCCTCATACACAGAGCTTGGGAAGAAAGGAACCTTCTAGAAGGTCTCCCCCATATATTTATCCCTTCACCAGCTTGCATCATTAGCAATAACCCCTCAATGATTGGCCAGGCTATAATAAATATTTATAAACTACAATGCTGTATCTTCTAACTCTATCCACTGGAAAACATTCCCAGAAGGGGGCAGAAGCAAACAATGTCCTAGGTTTAGGGAAAACCCAAAGAACCCAGATAAAGTAAACAATCAGAGCTCAGGCTGGCTACAGCCTAACTGCCAACATTAAATTTGGACTAGGGACCTTCCAGCCAGGGCCGGATTAAGAGCATCATGGGCCCGGGGCTGTCATCAGAAGAATGGTAAGCAGGAGACATGGCTCTCTAATTAGGTGGCTGCTTGCTCCTTGCTGGGGCCCTACAAGGCACCTAATATGCCTGATTAGAGAGCCACTGGCGCCCCTGACTGTGCTCAGCCCAGCTGGCCCAGAATTTAATCGGGCATACCGAGGCGATCCTATTTAGAGTGGTGGGTTGGTGCTCCAGTAGCTCCTATGTTAATCCAGCCCTGCTTCCAGCTCATGGCAGGGTCCCTTCACTAATATAAATTGTAACACACAGTTTGCATTTAGTGTATTCTCATCTGTGTTCATTCTTCTAGAGAAGTATGGATGCCACCTCGTTTGGTTCCACAGTGACAATGATCTCCAGAGAAGAGAAAGGTAATAGGACGGGACGTTGCCAATCTTTTCTCCTTCCTTGCCTTCATCTGTCTTTCCTGTGTCCTGCTATTTGCTGTTCTGTTTTATTTCCAGACTTGTGTTGCGGCTGTACCAGACGTTGTGTGTGTATAATAGCCATCATTCTACTCATTCTGACGATTGCTGCTGCTGCCATTGCGTGTACAGTTGTTTTTGCCCTCCCTTCAAAAACGCCAGGTAACTTGCATACATAATAATAGAAATAATAATTATGTCTAGAGGAACGATAATCAATAATTAAGATAGTTCCTCTGTTTGTGTGCAGAGAGTCGCTTCTGTGTCACATCAGATAATTACACGGGATTCCTGTGTAATGATAGAATCACGTGCCTGCTGCCATCGCAGGTCTGTAACTCTGCTAGTGACTGTGGAAGTGGGGAGGATGAAGATACTTCTATATGCAGTAAGTACAACCCTAGCATTGTGATAAGAGTTTAACTATGGGCAAAATCAGAAATCACATATTTGATGCAGTCAGTCAATAGCACCCACCAGCACCAGCACTACCACTATGATATAGTGATGCCAGTAAATCCATTAGTTTTCCACTTATTGTAACAGACCAAGCTGTCCAGCAAATTGAGTGGTTGCAGGGGTTGGGAAAATCCATACAACAATGATCAGCTTTTATTCATATGGTTTAAACCTGCCCCCCCCCTCCCCCCTTGAAAAAAAAATGCTGCTGCAACTTCTTGAATAGTATTTGCTTGAGTTGTTTAATGGTTGTGTTTTTAAGCCAATTTAAGCTACAAGTCCATTTAAGACTTCAGTGTCCACAAGGTGTCAACGCTGGTGTGTAATTCACTGCAGACTAAAGTGTTGTCACCCAATTACAGAAGGAGGTAGGAATAGCTGATCTACTGGCAGGCAGAAAACTATGTTACTGGGAGACTCAGAGAAACAGAACTGCTATGTTAGTAAGAGACTGTATCATACAATATGTATTTTTTTAATTTGCACATTGTTAGGCTATTCAAACAGTTTTTGCTAAATGCTCGCCAGCGTGAGTCTAACAAAATGGAACTGTACTACTGCTGCATGCCAACTCCCATGCAGGAAGAATGTAAACACTAGACTGGGGAGGTTAGTTGAAGTGATATAGCATCATAAAGAAACTTAGGCTGAAACATAACAGTGTAGACACATTAAGAAGGGAAAAACTAAGGTGAAAGAAGAAGAGAATATGGAGGAGGAGGGAGGAAAAGACAGGG